ATATTATTTAACAACTGCACCAAATGGTGAGAAAGATCTTGGCTAGAGCCGGGTCCTTGGAGGCCCCATACTGTGTGTATGTGTGTTGGGGTGGGGGGCACTAACCACTTAGTTGTTGAACTGTAGAAAGGTCTGGGGGCTCCAGGCAGTGGCTAGGAGAACAGGAAGGGGCACTCTGGGTACTCAGAGCTGCAATTATTTACCAACTGGTAAGGATGTATCTTTAAATAGTCTAATGACCAGTATTGGTGTATGGGTACAGACTCGCTGAGTGTCCCTTCTGCCTGTTCTCAGGCACTTGGCCCTGGGGTAAAGAAAGTGAGGCATTCTGGCCTCTGAAACAATGTGACTATAGGAAGTGCCCCCTAGCCCCTGGTCAGTCACCCTGAGGCCTGCTCTTTGCCCTGTCCTGGGGAATTCTATTGGCAGCTTTCTGTCAGCACCTCACAGGTTCGTGGCTGAGGAGTAGTCAGCAAAGTGGTACTGACCCCTCACTGTGCATTTGACAACTTTCCAGGTCTTGTGGAGGTTACATTGCAACCCCCCCTTTTGTTGGGAGCTGGGCAGGCAGAAATTATCCAGAAAGACCATTACAGAACAGGCAGCAGCCCACCTTTGTGACAGTGTGGTAGGCATCACAGGATGAACCAGTGCAGTAGACATCAGACATATGGGTTAGTTAGGTCCTTTAGAATTTCCATGGCCTCTCATTTTCTCAGTTAAAAATACCTACATGAATATTTAGGTAGATAGAGTAGGGGCAGTAGGTAAAGATCTTATTTTCTTAATTGGTTTGAAAACATTTTAACTTTCGGTTCTGGATTTGACACCAACTAGGGAGACACATGTCTTTCTTAGGGTCTGGTTGACTGCCTCCCCATTCCCTGCCATCTCATGCCAGGCAGGAGATAGGGTGGGGGCTGAGGAAAGGGGGATCTCGTTCTTACCACAGCCTATACGCCAGGAATAGGGTTGTCAGCGGTTTAACTAGGGCTTCTGGGGGTGTCCTTTGGTGGCGTTTCTGGCTGGGTTTTGCTGGGTTAGAGGCAGGATGGGGTAGCTATATATCAGTAGCCCCCTGCCCCAAACCTACTAGCCCTGCTCTGGGCCTGATCTGTCTCCCTCCCCATTCTGACCGGTGGCTAACTTGGAAGAAGGGCAAAGGCTGCTGAGTGTGTGCCCACCCAGAAGCAAAAGGGACTGGGGTTCGAGAGGTGGCCCTTTGTGGGGCCTGCCGTCCTGCCCGAGCGCCTGTAGAGGTTCACAGCCACTGGCCTAACTTAGAAAGGGCGGCAGCCGCCTGTTTAGTGCCGCTGTTTTTATAAGCTAATGAGGGCAGAGTGTGAGCCATGGGCAATGATGCTGGGATATTAACTGTGACAGGAAGCTTGATCATAATTATCTTAACGAGGATAGGGTTAATTACAGTGGAAACTTAAAAGTTCGCTCTGTTTGAATCCACTGGAGCTGAATGCGTTGTGATGTTTTGTCATTTTGATATGACTTTGGAAAAGGCACTGGGACTCCCCAGGCAGCTGCAGTGGTTCCCGGGGGGCCCAGTCAGAGCCCTGCGCACGAGGTAACAGAGATGGTACCTGTGGGTGAGATAATGGGCAGCTTTCCTGCTGGTGGCGCAGGAGACAGGCAGCCTGCAATGTGCTTCGGAGCTGCTGATTAGGTTTCCAGAGCAAACCACCTGCCACAGATCGGACCCACACCGGTCTCCCTGCCTGCCCTTGGCGTCTCTTGACTGGGCTGGGAAGACCTCTGTCCAGCTGGCTGTGCTGAGGGAGCGGCTGAAGCCTGGCCCTCTCCGTCCTGCCCCTGAGCATGGCAGACATGCCTGCCTGGCCTTTCCAGCCCACCCCTCAGACATCTGCAGCCACTGTCAACCACACTGGTGAGTAGCACTGCAGTGACAGTCACCCGCTCCAGCAGCGCTCATGGGTCCAGGGTGCATTTTGCTGTCCACCCACAACGTTACAGCGGAGAACTTACAGTGCTGTCATCTTTTCCTTGTAGCTCCCGTCACTGTCCCACCGAACAGCGTAGATCTGTGAGGATCCCGACACCCTCCTTTGCCTTCTCATTTTAACAGCACATATCTATTTGCAGGAATCTTGTATAGAGGGCTATGACCTCAAAGATCGATGCAAATCATGTCTTGCCTCTATTCCTCCCATGAAAACAGCAGCAGCAATAACAACAGCAAAAGTAAAAATTTTAAAAAGTAAAAAATAAAATCATCTTCCAGCTGTTGGTTTATTGGCCTCCACGTGCTAGCCGAACCCCAGAAATCCTGTCCTCCCCATCGTTACCCTTCACTACTCTCTCTTGTCCGCAATCCCTCAGCTCTGAAATTAGCTGATCAAATTACCAAGTGCACACTACACTGATGACATGAAGACGGGGAGTTTTTAATTAGCAGCCCCCCAAGTTACGTGGCTCCCTTTTAACTGAGCAGCTAATAACGTTACACAGCAAAAGGAACCCCGAAACCAGACAGGCGACGGGAGCCTGAGCTTCCTAACTGCTCTCTGAAGTCTGACTCCAGAAGCCAGTGTTGAGCTTCACCCAGGAGCCTGCCCCTGAGAGAAAAGCGGTCTCTGTGGGCACTCCCTCTAGTGTTCCCGGCTTTGTCCCTTTTCATGCTATGTCGTTTTGTTTTATGCCTCCCCTGAAGCACTCCTGGATAGGAGCTTTCTTCTGCTTGCCAGTTGCCAGCCATTTGCTGATTCTCGTGATATGAGTATTATATTTGCATAACATAACTCGGGAACAATGTGTATTTGGATGCCGCCTCTGACCAGAGCCCAACCGATGTTTGTGCACAAAAGCCTTATTAGCCATCCATAAGGCGCCCTGGCGGGAGGCGGCCTCAACTCCCCCTGTGGTTAAATAGAGCCTCGTTCGGAAAAGCCTTTTTGGATATCACTCATTAACACCCAGGGAGGAAGGGACTTCAAGACAAGGTGACAAAGTCTCCCTGAAGAGCCAGACTTACGGCACACCTTTGTGCATTTGTTTATCTGCCTTCCCCATGCATCGTAAACCCTTCCGCTTGCCCAAAGATCAGGGCTTCCAGAAAAATCAGTGAATGAAAGGAGGAAGCAAAAGAAGACTAACTTAAAATTATTCTCCATGAGATGTTATGAGCTGGAATCAACATGGAACAAGGCTGTTCAGATGGGCTACTGATATGCCTAAATTCACCAGGCAAGTAAATGGTGGAGCTGAGGTAAAATTCTAGGCCTTCCCGACGACATGTGTTTAAGTTGTGTTTTTTTTCCCTGAAACATGAGGGAGAAGGGAAGGGAGGAGGAGGAAATGAAACATGATGACCCCAATGACTCTTAACCCAAAATGTATTGGGTATTGCCTTCCTCTGTGGGGCAGGTAGTGTTGGCTATAAGAAGAGGGGTGGTCTGGGAACTAGGCCCTGGTTGTGACCACGCTGAGGACCAGGCCGAAATGGGACCTGCTGGTAGAGCTCTGGGCCTAAGGAATCTGGGGATTTAATTACTTATTCACAATGCATGTGTAACATGCATAAATACCTACTCCCTGTTTTGGGGTCCTCTTGGCAGTGGTCCCACAGGGAAATGTGGATCCCTTGAGAAAGCTCTGGCGATGAAGTTCACACGCACACCAGGTGTGCAGGCATTGCACACGCAAGCAGGAGGGTCTGTAATGTACATGCTATCGGTAAATGAATAAACAGTGTAGACAACATCTCCCTAATTCGTCACATTTTGTAGAATAGCCAGGAGATTCCATGCGAGTCCGCCCTCTGGTTGACGTCGTAGCTCAGCTGTCAGCCTGTGCAAGCTCAGCACAGCTCTTGGGCCTGGCAGGTGAACGAGCTGGGAGTGTGCGTGTCTGTGTAAGTCCCTCTGCCGGGTGGCTTTCTTTAATTAATGTCTGCGTGCGTGCGCCAGGGCAAGCATATGCGCACGACTGCCCCTCCTCGCTTCCCCTCACCCCCAAACACTCCCGAGCCCACGTGAAGAGTTAAACTTTAGCTAAGTGTGTAAAACAGCCTATTTTTCCTTTTCTGATACCTTTTTTTACCCCGAGCCGGGTACTTAATTCTTTCAGATGCCTGTTTATTTACTGCCTCGACCTCTACATTGCTGTGCTCGACACTTCTTTTAAAAATAAAGTGAGAAATCCACTTTCCATAAATTAAAACAGTAACTTCATGCCAGGAGCACTGGAACAGAAATTCCTCCAATCCCTTCCGTACCCCCCAACCCCAAACAAAAACACAAATAAAGAAAAAGAAAAAAGAAGTCATGAAAAAAAAAAAAAAGAAACAGCCCTCTCAGACGGGAGTGATTATGTGTTTCCACAGATGACTTGCCTTTCGGGGCAGCCACGGGGACACTGGGCAGAAGCAAATTAAGTGATTAGTAAAGAAAAAAAGCAGAGGGGGGAAGAAAAAGTCAAAGGCAGTGAACGGAGAGAAAGGAAGCCTTCCTTGCTGTTTCCTACAACTGTGCAGAGGAGAACTGCTAAGAAATGATACTTGAAGTTATATTTATTATTGTAAGAGGGGTATGATATTTCTGGGCAGGAATGATGGATGACAACTTAAATTTGTGTCCAGGGAATGAAGGTGAACTGTGACAGAGTTATTTATCTTGGGAATGGAGGTTAGGGTCAGCCTAGGCTGGGTGCCTGAAGGCACAAGACATTGACAAATTTATCCTGCAGGCCGTATCTGAAGCCCTTTGTTTTGGATCCTGGCTACTCACTAAGTGACCCTCATCCTTCATGTTGGCAATGCGTGAAGGATGCGGTGAGTGCCAGCGGCCCCTTCTCCCCCGCCGCCCCCGCCCCGGCTCCCGCTACTAATTCTTGTCATTCACTTTGCTGACAGGCACCAAGCCCAAACTATTCCCAGTCCTGAAAGGGAAGGTTAAAATATTTATTTCGGCTCATAATGGCCTCCCTGATTTAGTGCAGGATCATTTTTCCTGTTGCCTTTGTCATTGCAGGTCACTGGAAGGACTGAGCGCGTTCGGGAGCCTGGAGGAACTCATCTTGGACAACAATCTGCTCGGGAACGACCTCGTGTTGCCAGGGTTACCCAGGCTCCATACCTTAAGCCTCAACAAGAACCAAATATCCTTGGCTGTGCCTGCTGCCCCCACTCCCCGCCCAGCCTCGCAGTGGTCCCCTCCCGCTCGCCAGCTCTCCTCTTCTGCCCCACACAAATACCTGAGAAATGTCAAATGAGTTTTATGTGTCAGCTAAATTAAAGTATGTGAAATACAGTCCATGGGCAGACAAAGCGTTCTGTCTTCTGGCACTCGGGACACTTCAGAGTAATTTATTATAGGTCATTCATAAATGAAATGCACCATTATATCTTCCTGTTGCTCCATTTTAGTGTAGAGATCTAAGTTATGGCTGTGAAGAAATCTTTTTAATAGATAAAAATAGAGAAAGAAAATAATGTCACTGCTGCCAAGAAGGCAAAGCCGGGTTCTGTTTGCTTGCGCTTGTGTGGGAGGGCGACCTCTGGTGGGAAGTAAGGGGTAATGCTGCTAAGCCTTCTCGGAGGTTTCTGGAAGGCTTGGTGCAGGGAACAGTCTGGTGAAGGAGACTGGAGGGGCTAAGTGAAGGGTAGGTAAGTGTGAAGCCCAGGCCTAGCTCTGCCTTTCTTGGTGTTTACCACAGTAGAGTGATGGGAGAGGCCTAGGAGAGCCATTCTAGTATGTGGCCTCCAGGTTGGCGAGGACCTAGCCAGCCTGGGATGAGACTCAGAGGGACTAATTGCCCTGGATTCTATAGTGAGGCTGAGAATGGAATCAGAGCCATTCTGCAGCACATGGCGCATAGCTCCCCGAATATTAGAGTTGGGGCTCTCCATGCCATCATAATGCCAGCTGGGCAAGGCCGGGAGTTTGTCAGTATTGTTAACACCTATATCCTTCGCACCTAGAATAATGCCTGGCACAGAGTTGAGTTTCAATAACTGTTTGTGGGATGAGTGAATGAACCATTATCATCAGCCGCTCTTTATTGAGCATTCCTGTGGACTAGGCAATGTGCTGAATAACTTTAAGCATATTCCTTTTGATTCTTAGCAAACCCTGTGAGAAGGGTGTAGTTATTCCTTTTGCCTGGATGGGTTAAGAGGTGAAGTACAGACCCACAGGCAGACATTTAGCAAGGTTCTCGGTCCCGAATTCAGTCTCAACTGTGGCTGTATCCTAAGTTCTTTCCAGTCTACTGTATTGCTTCAGACTTGAAGTCCAATCATCTTGTTTTATTGATGGAACTTTTGAGACCTGGAGTGTTTTAATCGCTTGTTCACAACCACAAGGTAAGTTAGAAATAGAAAAGGGATCAGGGAATTTTCCCTTAGAGTAGGATATAAAACAAGACACACATGTTAAGTTGAACATATATGCATATGTAAGCATTTAAGAACAATGTGCAAAATCATTTATTAGCCACTGTTTATACTTCAAGTCATAAGTTTATATTTATTCTGTAAAATATGCCACTCGTGGTCATTATTAATTGGCATTTTAATAGAAGTAGAAGGAGAAGGCCTTTTGAACTAAATACCAGTCTTTATCATCATGAAATATTGATGGATTTTTCCCTTTCCTATCCTTTGGCCATGACTAAGTTTCCTAGTCATTGTTTGGAAAGTCGCTGTAGTCAGTGTGTCTTCTGGCTTCCTTGGCTCTCTTAGGAGATCATTTGGACAATATTCTCAACTCAGTCAAGAACAGAAGGACTGTTAGACTGGAATTTGGATGACACGGTTCCTCCCTTTGGGCCACTTGCCCATATCCTGTGTCCCTCGTCACTGTAGTGTATTAGGGTTCTCACACATGTGTTCATGAGCCAGCTGAATCATGTTTCGCTGTGTGGCCCTGCACAAGTCATCCTCTAATAGCCTCTGTTTCTCATTTTGAAAGAAGTTGAACGGCATGATGGTTTTATTCTCAGTATTGCTGTCACCAGAGATTAGCAGGCCTCTTGGCTCTACAGTGTGGAGATATTTCCTTGGTCTTTGGTTGCGTCCTTTCCCTGCTCCATGCCTCAACTTCTCTGATCTGGAGCAGTAATGCTGAGTGAGTAATGGTAATGGCCTGGGAGGCACTGAAGCACACAGCAGTGCATAGCTGTCAACCTGGCTAATTCTGCCCCTATGCTGCTGTGTGGTACTCTGTTATCAGTAGGTTCGAAAGGGAATAGTTGGCGCTCTCATGGTGCAGCATGACTTCTTTCTCCTCCGGAGTTATTGGTATGATCATGAAGATTGGCTCAGTTTCCCCTTAGACTTGACCCAGAAGTCATAGAATGAAAAGCAGGTAAAAGCAGCAGTAATGCTATATGTTATCCTTTTAAAAGTCTAATACTCTTGACTCTACCTTTTCAGTGAACTCACTATCCTACCTACTTGTGAAAATAGCCTAGGCTCGCCAACAATTGCTAGGTTCCATATTGCTATCGCTACTTTATGAAATGCCTTAGAGTTGGGCTCTGTCAGTCAGCTTTGCTGCATAATGATCCACCCCCAAAATTAGTAGCTTAAAAAATACTTGTTTCCTATGGGTCAGCTGTTTAGGCAGTGCTCAGCCGACAGTTCTGCCAGTCTTGCCTCGTGTCACTCCTGCAGCCACAGTTATGTGGAGGCTAGATGGTCTGAGATGGCCTCCCTCCTATGTCTGGAGTTGGTGCTGGTTGCTGGCTGAACTAAATGTCTCCCACAGACCACCACAGGCCTCCCCACATGGGAGGGGTTTTCCAAGAGCAAAGCCCCAACGTGCAAGTACTTCTCAAGCCTACTGGCTTATGTGTTGCTGTTCCATGGCCAAAGCAAGCCACATACTAAATGTAGAACAAATGTGAGAGAGGACTATACAAGGTGTGAATACATAGAGGCATGACTCATTCCATGAGCAATCTAACACACAGCCCTTGGGATTCTGGTTTCTTAAGAGTTTACGTTGTATTTATAATAAAGGGAGACCTAGAATCAAGTAACTATTGACCTTCTAAAAATGTGAGCATTAACTCTTATAATTTGCATCTTATTTTAAACATATTAGGAAGCTTGCCATCAATAGGGGTTCTACCCCATGCACAAGTTCTTTCGTGAAGTTTCTTTTGTTTTTAATTTTTTGCTTTTTGTCATATGTAGAATGGTTATTCATCCTCACCCCCAGCCCCACCCATTGTACCTGCCTTGCAAATCTAGACTTTTCTATTTGGGTTTCGTTCACAGTTAAATATGTTTATACAATGCTCTATGTTACTGGACCTGGGAACTTGGGTTATGGGTTTCTTTTATCTTTTGGCAAGACGCACTATCAGGTAGTGGTTTAAGAGCAACAGGCTCTGAAGCCAGAGTCTGGGCTTGTACCTGGGTCTACCACTTGCTGCATGACTTGGACAAGTTATTTAACATGTCTATGTTTTGGTTTCCTCTGCAATGTGGAGACAACAATAGTACCCATCTGTAAGCTGTTGTGAGACTGACTCTAAGAATCTCACAAATATTAAATTATAGTAACATAGCGAGTTCTATGTAAGGGTTAGTATTATTGCTGTTAGTATTATCCTAGAGAATTATGTGAACTTATTTGATCTTATTTGGACCACATTATAACCAAGGCCAGAGTATAGATTTAGAGTGCTTCTTTGACTTGTATAGTTTAATATTATATTCCTATCACTCTGTGAGTTGGGTACAACTGGGAATAATTCTCTTTTTTATGAAAAAAACTGGGTATGAACTTTTTGAAGTCACATAGGTTGTCTGTGGTGGAGCTCAGTCTAGAACTCAGGAATGCTAATTCTCAGCCCCAGACTCTGATGCCCAAGGAAGGGGGTGATCACTGCTCAAGAAAAGGAGCTATGATGGTGGCAGAGTCGGCTGCCTGTGCCTGGCCCCACACGGCCCTGCTCCCAGCTGCAGAGGGAGCTCATGAAAGGGATTCCAGAGCCCAAGCCCGGCAATGGCGTATTTCCTCTCAGTGCACCACTGTCTCCCTTCCCGGCTGCATCCCTCCTCTTGATGGCCCATGTTTGTTCTACCAGCCCTTTGTTCCACTTTTGTTCAGCCCTCTGCTTTGGTGTCCTGTCCTGGCCTTCCCAGGTTACCTCTTCATCTCTTGGTTCATAGCTTATCTTACACTTGCTTCTTCCTTTGGTTCATTTAGACTGGTCCAGTAGTGACTGGCCATGGAGTTGACCTCCTCTCCCCAATGCTCCTATTCTCTCATTTTCATTCATGCAAGAGTATATGCACACACTATCCCTGGCTCTTCCCTAGGAGGAGTGGGTATCTGGTCATGGTCTCAGTCACATCATGTCTGAATACCCAACCCCAAATGAGGGTACCACTGAGATGTCAGGAAAATATAGATATTTAACCTTTTTATTGGGTCTTTGGAAAAGTCATGATGCATGTTTGCAACACATGGCACTAGCTCATTTTTGGAAGTACTAGTCATTCGCATCTATGTTATTGCTATGTCATTTGACAGCTGACAGTTCTAGCTTCATTCTAAAAAAAATTGAGCGATTTGATTGAGTTTTAGAGATTTTACAACAAGTTGAAGATGGAAGACCAAACTGTGCATTTTTGCCATATTTTACTGTTTTACTTCCATAAAGGGAAGAACGCATGTCAAGCTTGTGAAAAGTTGCATAAAGTTTACGGTGACAATGCTCTACAAGAACGTCAGTGCCAATGATGATTCACGAAATTCTGTGCTGGTGATTTTGATCTCAACGATGCTCCTCAGTCAGGGAGACCCACCGAGGTTGATGACGACAAAGTAAAAGCATTGATCAAGTCAAACCCACGTTACACGACACAAAAGATTGTAGAAACATTGAACATCCATCATTCAAGCATTCACAACTACCTGAAGAAGCTGGAATACGTAAGCAAGCTCGATATTTGGGTTCCACATGAACTCAAAGAAGTTCATTGGACGGTGCATATAAACATCTGCAATATGCTCATTAAATGTGAGGAAAACGATCCTTTTTTGAAGTGACTGATAACTGGTGATGAGAAGTGGATTGTTTACAACAATGTGGTGTGCAAACGGTCTTGGTCCCGACGTGATGATTAGCCTCAAACGACA